AAGAAGTCGGGCCAGTCAAGGGAACGAATCAGGTTTGGGAGGCCTGACCAGTTAATTTGGTGGCGTGGGACATCCGTTTGCGGAGGAGTTGTCTGTGTCAACTCTAATTTGAACGCGCATTGAATCATTTTGTGATCACTGCCTGGAAAGTGGTCGTGTACAAGTGTGTCTGACACCGTGAGACGATTGGTAAAGATTAGGTCTAGAATGTGACTACCCCTAATGGGGGATTTTACAAGCTGCTTCCTATCACCAGAGTTAATACTGGATAAGAATGAGAGGAGGTTATCTGGGNTCAAGGGAACGAATCAGGTTTGGGAGGCCTGACCAGTTAATTTGGTGGCGTGGGACATCCGTTTGCGGAGGAGTTGTCTGTGTCAGCTCCAATTTGAACGCGCATTGAATCATTTTATGATCACTGCTTGGAAAGTGGTCGCGTACAAGTGTGTCTGACACCGTGAGACGATCAGGAAAGATTAAGTCTATAATGTGACTACCCCTAATCGGGGATTTTACAAGCTGCTTCCTATCACCAGAGTTAATACTGGATAAGAATGAGAGGAGGTTATCTGGGGTAGATAATGATGACCAACATATGTTTGGAGCATTAAAATCTCCTGCTATGAGTTTTTTGTCCAGGTACAAGATCCGATAGGTAACTAAGCGTTTCAAATATGTATAAGAAGTCGGGTGAAGCAGAAGATGAACGATGAATACATCCAAGGTGCGAGGTTTGATCATGGTATGTAATCTTTAACCAAAGGGATTCCTATACTTTATCAAGGATGGGGCCATTCGGAGTGGTTGTTTGTAGTGGATCTCTGAAATATACAAGGCATTCACTACCGCGGCGATAATAGTGGTCCTGTATTGTATTGTATTGTTGTGTGTATAACTTTTGCAAGCACTGGAACTCACATTTCAGTTAAAAAAAGCATACATGCTAACCGTCACAATGTACATAATCAACGGGGAGAAAATCTTTTACAGGCATGGGGACATTTCATAATCCAAGGTTATGACAAAGTTCACATCAAAGTGACCAACGCCTAAATAATCTAAATCAATCCGTTACCGATCGAAGCCCCGAACCCAATGAATGCGTCCTCAGAAGCAAGCTGTGTTGCAGCAGACGGAGAAACATGTACTTCGACGAATGTATGAACTCGCTGTACTCCTCCTTCCCTTAAATTTCTATCCACGAGTCTCCATCTCTCATTCTTTGTTTCACTAACCGTCGATCCGTTTTTCCTCCCATTAATTCCACACGTCTAATCCTGTCGATACAATGTTCGCTCTTTCTTTAATTTCCATTGCCATGCTTATCCAGTGAATTCCTCTATGCTCCATATCTACGTCTGTGACCTTGTCTGCTTTGTGTTCCGTTTAAATTGTGTTTTCTTTCCGCTCCTCCACCATCTCCCTTAAGTATATCTCCTAATATAGTAGTAGTAGTATACATTAAAACCTCAATTTCCCGATAAAAAGGCATGGTGTCAAAATAAACAAAATGATGATAAAAACAATACTACTGAAAATTATGAACTGATAAAACAATAACAATCTGATCAACAGTCGTCCCCATGGAAACGTTTTTATGAAGTTGTTCAGCTAAATAAATTCTACATGAGAATGTTTCCCGTGAAAGGCGTAATACAAAAATCCGAAATTTGCATGTGTTACCTTTGTATTTAATTACATTAATTTGTTTATATGTTCACTCTTTTCTGTGCACCCATGAAAGCACCAAAATATCGCTTTCTTTTCTTGTGGAGTTATTGGTATATTTCGGCCTGGAAATTCCCGTGGTGCTCGTACAAACTGCTTCCCTCGAACCCACAGCTCGGTGGTTCGTCCAGAATCGTGGAAATAGGTGAAACTGTTGTGAACAAATGTAAATATGGACGTTGAAGATCATCGGAAACTGTTTGGATTTTTGGGACGTATGACATAACGGAAGGGAAAGTAAGGCTACTAGAACCAGATAAGAAGGATACTGAAGGCAGATTCCGGCTCTGCTAGGGGAAGGAGGTGGGACCATTTGGACGAAGTTCAATACCGATATTGGTTTCACTTTTTGCCCTCAAACATCAATATAGATTTAGAAACCTGTTTGAAGCACATCAGTGAACGTTATAAAGTCGATTATTCTGTTTTTGCTTTTAATACATTTTTATATACACTTTCTAGTCCTCTTATGTCAAATTCCTATATAAGCGCGTTCATGGTGCTTACGAGTAGTCACTATATTATTGCGGTTTTTGGCTAGAGGGGGTTGACTGTCGTTCAGGACTACCTAATAATGTTAATGGTGTCGAAAATACAGAGTAAATTTTTAACAAGGATTATTCTGTATCATATATTCCATAATCGTTAAGATGTCGTGTTAAGATGCCATCTTATGGGAAAAACGGTACCATAAGCCATGAGGGATCTCATATCGATGTGTCCAGAAATGTTATTCTCTTCCTTTGAGAAGCCGTCCACGACTGGGTAATTTTGGATAGACAGCTCTTTCAGACCCAGTCCGTTGAATAATCAATACTATGATTCAATGTTTTGTAGGTGGACAGATGATACAAACCGCAGAAAAAAGTGACTTGAGCGTCTTTTTGGAATATTTCCAAATAATTAGTAGGAAAATTTCTTCGAGTCTTTCATATACCACTTGTTATGAAGGGTTATGTGTGCTTAGGAGCATTTGGATGAGGTCCAGTATAAATTTTGATCTGATTTTTCATATAAGGTATTTCAATGAACCACCAACGCTCATGAAACATGTGATACAAATATATACTTTTTTAAAATTGTACCCTTTCTTTTTAATACCATTTTCATTTTTATTGTTGTTTTATTTTATCACTTTATCATACCTTTGAATCCCGAGTTTGTGGATTTTTTCTTTTATACTGCTTACAATTGCAGCACATTGTTAGGGGACATAAACGGTCAAGACAAACCGTTTTCTTATTATTAATACTAACAAAAATAACATTATTATTCCTAACAGTGGTCAATCGGTGTCCATGAGTGCTTGGAAAATGTCTAGGTAACTGGAATATTCAACAACACCTATTTTGAAGCTAAACCAAAGAACGACGAGCGATGAACAATGCATAATCAGGGTGCTGCAGCAACGGTTCGATTTCCGAGCTAAAACTATTTGTACACATTCCCAGAGGGATAGGTTGTTCACAGTATCTCTTTTACTATCCCTTAGGGAACACAAAAGGATTTTCTCCCGTGGCCACCAGCACGTTTCGCATGTTGCCTTCGACTTACCACATGATGCTTTTCCCATCCCTATCTATCTTTTGAAGGGGTAATGCAAGTGATATTTTTTCCTTCTTCACCAAATTCCATCTTGATAACTAAGCATTGTGGTTTTTCAACGGACACTCAAGCGTACAAATACATCTTTGAGTTTTTCATCAGTTCCGATGCGTCTTGACATTCCTTCTCGTAGATACTCATGAACACGTTCGATTAAATCCCTATTTTTTCACACAGATACCTCGCAGTTACTCAACTTGGTCGTTTTGCATCTCGTGTATCTTGTACCTTATTGACTCTGTCTCGTCACTGGTAATTTGTCACGCTTTTGTTTTACCGAATTTTGGCGCGCTTTGCATCCGTACACTTCCATCTTGGTCGTTTACCGCACCGTATAATGCCAACGTCTTTTACGGTCGAAACGCAATGTTTTGTTTTAGTCTCTAATTTGTGCCTTTCCGTTACTTTCACACGGGCTACTGGTATCGCGTCGCCGCATCAAACAGTCGTTGAACCACATGCTGAGTGTCATTAGCCGTTTGGTTGTTTCAAGTCAACCAACTCAGGTACGCATGTGAACGAAGCCGACAGTCGCAACATACCTATTCAGTTGCCAAGACTAGCCATCTGACAGCGATTTATTCATATTTTACAAAGTAATTATAGAATTGATTCTCCTGGGTTGAAAAATAAGACGTAAAAAGCGACACAGTGACGTTGCAGTAGTTCTTTAACTGACAGTTTCATAATGGCAGTTTTCTCTTTCTTCTCTCTTGTCATTTTATTTAACCCAAGTTCCCTGACAGATCCGTGTACGCTGTACGCTGTATTGGCAGGGCTGTGTAATTGGAGACTGTCAGAACATGGTTACATGACCATCGCATATTTATCAGAAACAATAAGGTTCAGACTTCCAGTAACAACTTAACCCATTGATCATACCTATTTACTACAGAACTAGACCAAGATTATTCTAATCCTTTTAAGATAGGAAACCTTTCTCCTCAATCGGTTACAATCAAGTGCACCATCGAGGTTTAGCACATATCGCCATAATTTAGTGATAGTGATCTTTCAGGAGAATTTTTCTATTTAGAACTAGGACACTTGAAGAGTTAAGATTTTACTGTTATCTTGCCCTTAATTAAATCGAATATACCGTATCGGCACAATTCCCCACGTTGAGCTCTGCATCGCTCGCTTTCTCTACTTTCATCAAATCAACTTTTAGAGTTCCACCGCCGTTGCAAAACTATCAACTTTAGTTAGGTGAAATTCACTTCCAAAGTGTAAGAATATACGTTTTGTACTATTCAGAACCTTGGTTTTATGGGAACGAACTAAGAGAGGGAACGTTAGAGAATATTAGTGGAAGGTTCTAACAGATATCAGTAACCCCAAATCTACCAAAATCTCTTTCAGAAAAACGAAGGCAGATAATAAGAGGGGTTACAGCGATAAAGATTGGAGAAAATCCGTGCCAGACCAACCCATTACAAAAATGATACCAATGTCAATCATCTGTGTTTATTCTGAACTTCACTTTAATCATGAGATTATGCAACATTCAGTGTTAGTTTGTGTGCATGTGTAACAATTGCTTTACAATGACTAGGACTGAAAAGTGCAGTGATTCTCCCCCATAAATTGAAACAAAAAGGATGAATTGTCACGTGTATGTGTGTGCGCCCGTGTGCGTGATCGTAGTCGACAATAATTAACCGGGTTTATCGGCTATTGGGACTCATGATATAACCCATGAACACTGGAATACGTTCATTGTAGACAACCGCCAGCAGGAATGGTCGATTGACACAGAATTCCACCATTGGCAAACCCAGTGGAGATGTGGGTGGAACAGCTCCCGATTGAATTAATTCATTGCCATCCTCATTCACCTGTAAACGAGAATGAAGAAGCATACATAGACTGTAACGGTAACCTTGGTAAAAGAAAACATAGCATTCGTTCGCTCATAGTTTTCGACCGCGACGTATATGACTATCTGTGTGACTCAACCATTAGGTGTTTACCATCACAGGGAGAGAACGAAAAGTCAAAATCCAGGGTCAGGGTCGAGTTGGTGAACAACAAATAGTTCATTTAGGAAAGCTGAGGAAAACCTGATTGCAAACCAACCAAGAAGAGGTGCCTAATCCGCATCCACGCTTTCCTGGTTCTGGCAGTGGCTACCTGCTTGATTGGGTACCTTGGACTACTTAGCCCGTCCATAGGGTAACTGGTCTAATGAACCAGACAGGAGCCCCCAGGGGATTATAGTTATGAACCCCCCCCCCCCCCAAGAAAAGTGATCTTTCGCCTGATCAAACATGCACAATGTTCCACCTACGAGTGACAGAGTCCAGCTTCAAATAAGTCGGAAAACTGAAATACAGTTAGAATAAAATATTGAAACCCACGTTTTAGTTATCAACAGGCGAAAATCACATGTGGTCAGTTCCTGCATGCATGAAGACGACACATGTTTTCGCTATCCGAAGCTGCCTATTCGTGATGAGCACTGTGCTTACAACGGTAGTTTTGAAAATAAGAGTTAAGTTTCACTTTCATTCAGGTGGTTGGTAGCTTGTTGGACCTCAATAACTCATAAATTTGTGACGAAAAAACTTTTTATGCAGAAAGACCTCCAACTACATTGAGTAGAAGCAATGCCAGTGCAAGTATTTAAATCTTTTAAACGTTATCAACAGAGCACACCTATCTACCAATATCAAAGAATATTGAACAATTGAGGGTTTTATAGGTGGACCAAATTCAGTCAACTTGTGGCAATTTAATGATTTATTAGTTCCGGTATGCTTTAAGGTGCTTTCCTATCTTTGTTTCTCTTTTTTCAGTGGTCGATATTGAAATCAAAGACTCAAATAGACCCCGAAGTGCCCATCTTTAATTCTCCAGATGGAACTCACCTCCAGCACAACTTTGTGAAATATATCCGACATACAAGCGGATGGATGACGGCAAATACCGGACATTTCATTCCCCTGTTTCTGGAACACAGATGACGCTCCAATGGAGCACAACAAACGTTTGATATTCATCGAGGGTTCATCACCGACTTTGAAGCGTGGCAAGTTGAGGCGAACAAAAGCCAATTTGTTCTGTGTGCTAATCAGGTCGATCAAATGGTTTCCGGTGGCCAGATAGGACATGACGCCACGCAACCCAGACACCTCATTCGGTACGACGATTAGGTATTGCCAACTGAAATTCCGATGAAGAATAGGTGCACACATGTAAGATGAAGTACAAAGGTGAAACATATGTTAGCCGATTAAAATACAAACAACGAGCTACACTAGTAGTTGGTTTTCAATACACTACCAGGATTTACACTAAGATTAGTCTGGTGATGAGCTAAGGGAGTCGTGATGAATGACAAACAGATAGAAAAAAATTTATTGGCGTTTCCGTTCATTCACAGTCACTACCGTTTGGAAAAATGCTATCCTTACTAATCCGCTATTAACTATTCTGATAAAGGATCATAGGTCGACTGCTTAAAATGCGCGCTCCTACATTCGTGATACTGAATTGGGGCATACAGTCAAAACCACATATCTCTAGCCACTACTAAAAAAGCAAGTGCGACTTAAACGGGAAAATAATATCAAACGTAGCAGGTTCATTTGGGGTTCAGCATCTGAACCCGCAAGGAAGACCTGCTCTGGTGTGAGGATTTCAGTTGGGGTTATATCATCTGTGTGCGACGTATTCTTCGCGGTGACATGGGTCCAGAGTTGATGGAGTATTTCCCTCTGCGCGAGCAGACCAGGACTCGTGGACATGGACTTACGCTGTTGAAGCTTTCGTCCGTAGGATTACCTCTTCGGTTCCGGCTATCGCGAAGGGTAACCAATCTTTGGAACTCCCTTCCAGCTGACGTGGTGGAAGAGGTCAATGATAAGATGTTCAAGAGGAAGCTCGACAGCGTCCTGCGAACAATGTGGTATGCAGATCTATCATGAACGAGATCTTCGAGTCTGTGGTGATGAGGCTCATACGGGAAATTACCCTCTGCCTCTAATTGAAGAACATTGAACATTGAACATTAACTAGCTGCATATTTTATCTCCTTTCAAAGCTGTTGGGCGAAGAAAACTCAAAGGAACACATCCGAACTTGAACTGATCATTAAGGTCACTCCCAACGTCAGCTGGTTGGCAACGTAAAACTGAGTCCATATTATGTCCGAGTGTGTGGGGTCTGAAGGATATGCACTCGTGTTCATTAAGACATAACCCATATCACTAAGTGCAAATAATGGTGAGTTAAAACTGGGAACAAAATGAGTAATGCTTGTTTTCATGGTTATTGTGTTAGCAGTGTAACCAACACTTTTCTCTTCTGGAGGAGAGAGCACTTTCAAGTAATACAATGATATGTTTAACTGATGGTTCGTACTCCAGTTACGTAAGATTACTGCCACAAGAAATGCATTGGTAAAGCACGATGGAATAGCAAACGGTTCGACCATACTGGATCAACCGGGTAGTGCGACTTGTATATTGTCGTTTTACTTCCTTTTTATGAGTACGTAATGATTCATCTTTCAGGAGTGAGAAGCGCCCAATCAAAAGGCCGCTATACAACACAGAATGCAGAAAGCCAGTTGGCTGGATTCGAACACACGTCCTTCAGGGAGATAATTCCCTTACCTATGCTGCTCGGTCATCATCGTCCTGGTGACTATTCAAACTTCTTGGTTCACGTGATTCCAGACTGCATTTCTATGTATTGTCTTTTATCAATAGGCTTCACACAATAAACTCGTGCCCAACACCCACACACGCACACACCGATAATTCGAAAAAATTTTAACGCTGTCGAAAAACATTGATGCAGCAACACAACAATCGCTTACTCCGGATTCCCCAGTGGTATCTTGATCATTCTGGCTTTAGCTTCCGGCAATTCATGGATCTGATATAACCCTTCAGTGGACATCATCTTCACAACCATAGCGGGTCCGTTCTCTCGATAAAATGGTGCTGTAGTTGTGCATTGTTTCGGAAAATGATCTCTCCAAATCCCTAGTTAGATAGAATTGATTGATCCAGAGTTAAGAAGGGAATCAAACAGAAACAAACCTTTGACGTAAAGAGCATCCACCATTGTGAATATTGTATCCTCCGTGATACTGGAGAGTGGAAGCAAATCCTGAATATTATACTGGGTCATTTTTCCCACCCAGTCGTTTATGTGTCGACGTTTTGTGTCATTATCCTTCATATTTGACAACTAAACCATTTATTAAAATGACTCACTACTACGATTGAAACTCACATCTTCCCATTTTGCTGTGTAATACTTGAATACGTCTTTCACATATCTGGTTCCAACATCCGCACGGTTGAGTACAAACAGGCGATGGGCGGCATGCACGTGTAAATAACCGGAGGGTTGCAGTCCGCGATTGAGCAGCGCACCGGTGGCCGCATGCACTTCGTACTCGTTCCGATATTCCGGCAGTTTCAGCGCTTTGAGAAGATCATTTTTCGTCTTTCCGCTGCATCCCAAACTGGTCATGGCCATCGTTAGATACAAACTGAGTGGGGAAAGGAAAGTGTTTTTCAGCATCACTGTGAATTGGGTTAGGGTGGTAAAGATCGAAACAAAAGCCTACCAGGTTGCTGTTCGAGCATTTTGGCAAAAAGCGTTTGCACAAAAGTCGAATAAGACTCGTAGACGGTACTACATTTCAGATTCACCTGTGTTTTCGGATCCATGTTGACTTGAAGATGTGTGAAGTGACACTGAGTTTCCTCAAACGTTGTTGCAGTTAAAAGTGACGTGTGTTAGCCATCCCTCTGTCTAGCTGCCTTTCATCGTGACAGCTGATTGGTTCCGTGCGTCAGGCTGTCAAGAATACTTTTGATTGGCGATGCATCTCAACAATGTACTCAATTCATGACAAGAGTTATAAGAATGACAACCAGCAAATTACGTTGATATGATTAAACAAATGGGCAAGTAGATTTATCGATTTGCGCTGAAAGGATATGTCATTTGAATCTGAACATCTGTGATGGTGATAATGCATTCTCTCCTGTCTTACCAGGTAGGTTCGTTCAAATGCCTTTTCGAGGAGCATCAGTTCTTTCAACAATAAAAGCAGACAGATTGTTGTCAGGAAATCACTGCCTGATAGACTCCAGCATGGTTATCCCATGAAATTAGGAACGGTAAAAGAATTCGGAAAAAAAACCAAGGAGTGGTTGACCAGACACTAATGGTTTAAATGAAGGAGAAACAGTGGATTAGTGCTCGTATATGGAATTTACTGCTGAGCACAGACAGAATAAACAGAACCATGTGAGAGAGGGCTTTCAGTACATTTATTTGAGCGTGAATTAGTCACGTCGTATGCTCCCCGGATGTCAAAGAGTACGGCAAGTTCATATCTTCTCAGTCCCAGTTTGCTAATAGCTCGGGGAATTATTGTGTGAATTGATGGGTCGAAAGATTAAACCGAGTATACCATCAAGTCTCAAAAGTATCTCACTCCCAGGGAGGTCGAAAAGTGCTAGGTTCAACAACAGCTTTATTGAACAAGACTTGGCATTAGTGTATGATCACAAATTCGGATATTCTTACCTGACAGGAGAAAAAAATTGGGTTTAGGATACAATTGAGAATGGATGGAAAAATCTAGTGGGAGGCTTTGTAACTGAGTCGTCATTAGCCATAACTTGTGAAGAGCAATTTTCCTAAATTTTTGTATTTCGCATTTTATCAGAATTCGGTTTTGGAAGATTCATACTGCGAGCAGACAAAATGTCTCAAATCCCCAAGTCCTCAGGTTGTTCACAAGCAGGAACACTCCAGAGATTGCTCGTTTTCTACAAAAATGATTTGGGTCTTGAGCAATGTTTAAAAGTGACTATTTTTCCAGAGCTTGACGTTTGACATGTCTGAGTGTGAAAGGTTATGGCTACTAATAAGCAGACAAACTTTTCGATTTGATCATTAAGAAAATCAGTGGTAAGCAATGAAATCGAGGATTTCAACAGTAGACCTCCAACAGCACCATTCGCACCAGTACGGGAAACTCGTTAAACGAAGGTTTAACGTAAAAGATATGAAAATTGTGACAAGTGGACTTAGTCGTGCACGTTGTGATGCAATTTGCGATTATATTTTTCAGGTTCAGCTCGGTATTCAATCAACCTCTTAGTATGATGCACAATGGAAGTGGTGAGCTCTATGCTCATGGAAATCACATTAGTCTGTGACCTACTCCCAGAGACTTGGGGTAGTGAACTGCTTACTAACCCAAAACAACAGGCATGGTATTCACCTGGATGGCAGCATCAATGCCTACCACCAAACTCGGGCGGTAGGAGGTTTTAAATAATGGAAAATAAAGTTCAAAGATCTTCGGTGAAAGCAGACAAAATGGTTTGGCTATCGTCACCCAAAGAATGTAAATATTGCAATATTTCTCATTGCATTTTTGTCATTTCCCATACGTGTTTCGTGGGAACACTGTTAGACTTTGGAATAATTTACACTTTCTATTTGTTGGTAGCGAAAGGACAGCAGTTAAAGCCGGAGCGCGGGAGCGACGGTTTATTGGAGGGTGCGATCTATGCAGTAGTTACACTGGCTCAGCATTATTCAAACTTTAAAAAAATAAATTCGCAAAGACAATCAATCAAAGCGAAATAAGAAGCCAAGCATCAAAGCTCATCTGATAATGATTGTTACATGGGCCATGAACGGTGACCTATTCACACAGCACTTCCATTTGCCTTGCTGGCTTTATGACTCCCTTGAGGTATTCATCGAGAGGTGGAGGTAAAGTGGTTAAGGTGACCGAATTATCTTCCGAGAGGTCGCGAGTTTGAACCCTTTCCGCCACTGCCTGACCCTACTCATGTCCTTACACCCCATAACGGGCATCTGATTATCCAATTCTTTCTTCCTGAAAAACTGTTTGTGCAACTATGTATTCAATAAAAAAGAAATCGATAAAAGGAAGAAATAACCAGAACCTAAAATTTGGATCCAAATCCCACAAGTTTCTTTCAGTATGCAGCTGTAACCCTCCAGTGTACCTTGTGAGGCATGTACCTCCGCTTTGTAGAACCTGCCAATTTTCGTCCCGCAAGATTATATCTAATTGTTCTAATTCCGTTCTTCTTTACCCTAGAATGTTTATTGCTTCATCAATCAATCGTTCTAGTCAAAAACAGCTGAGTTTCGAAGAAATCCAGAACTCGTTACATTTGGTCTGAGCCCAACGATACTCTGAACAAATTATTTATTTTCTTATATTGTTAATTGTCTGCTGCATTGTATTTTATTTGTAACTTTCTTGTGGTTATGTGATTTTTGAATACTTACTCATCCATTAGGGTGCATAAAACCATTACCTGACTTCGCTTGGCTCGACAACTTAGCTGATTGTCTTCAGAGCTGGGACACAACGGAATAGTTTGACACAAGCAGTCCCCTGTCATGACTGGGACTAAATACATCTACATGATTGTTCTATTTATCATATATAGAATCACATACACACATGCGTGTCCTACTTACTAACTGGGAGTGGATTCAGATCAACGACCGATTGCCAATTCAATTGGTACACAAAAACCTTTTCCCTCCAGCTTAAATTTACGGCCATGGTGAAGCAAATCAATGTGTCGTGGGCTATTAAACAGCTGTTTGGATTTCAGCATTCTCATACTCGTGGCAAACTACTGCTTCATGCCATTGTGAACAACAGCAAAAAAGGTGAGATTCGCTTTTCTTCTCCTGAGCTACCGGGAGTGAAGGTTTCTCACAATTTTCCATAGGCTCACAGCAAACAGTCAATTCCAGATGACCACCTAACTGACCATGTTTCCTAAAACAAGTCATGAACAGCAAAAGTATCATGACTGGAACGTTCCTATAGTTTTGAGGAACGCTACTTTGAGATAATGTCCGATGAAATTTCCTTCTTCAGCCTTGTTGAATTTTTACGTACTACGTAATTTAGAATGTTACTGGGTTACGTTACATCAGAAATGAAGTTAATTAGCAGATACATTGACTGTGCCTATAATTTTAACGCAGACCACAAATCCGCCAACGTTGTCAATCCGTATAGAGCAAACAACACCTGATCCCAAATATTTGCAACTTCATTACTTTAGCATTTGTTTGGGAAACGCAATCTATCATCCTAATACAAATCTCAGTTGTCATTTGTGGCTGTGCCGCGTTAGCTATTCACCCCAAGAACTTTAGACGTTATTCTTGTTTTGCCACGTGCTGATTTGGGTCACCAGAAGGCTGTGAATCCAGATTTTCTCGAGGATATCTCCTAACAGGATTTGAAAACTATCGACATAACTGTAATTGAGAACAAGTATGCGAATCAGCTAGAGTGCCACCCTGCTACAGTTAGACACGGAAAGCTTTGAATTATATAAAACGCTTTTCAAGTCTCAGTTTCTATGGGATTTTGTGCGGGCCACTAAGGCCCGAGTCACAAATTCAAAGTCCAATAAACGCCCCAATATGCGAGCACCCTTTCCACATCTGAGTGACAAAGAATACTCTATTGAAGGTGCCAAGTCGATTTAGATGAGTCAGAAGCTGTCCGAGCCACCAGTAGAACCTCTCGAGAGTTAGAAACCTATGGTGCCAGTGATACGGAGTTTCTTACCCTTGCTCCTGGGGACCACAATACACGCTCTTGTATCTTGGCCTGAACGCCATCGGGTAGGACTGCTGCAGAGGTTACAGTTGTTTTCATCAGTTCAGTCTCTCCCCCTCCCCGCTTCTAGTTGAAACAACCTGATTGTGTCGCCCCCATTGAATTCATTATCTTCGGGACGGTATGTACTTTACTCTTGTGGTCATGTGAAATTATTCTAAGGTTGAAAGAGTTGTATTCTGCAATTGGAACAATGTCACAGTCGGATCCTCTTCAAGCCGAGAAATGAAATCATTGTCCTTCAATGAGCATTTCCGAATTAGGTCACGATTCAGTGTCTTTATACCTTTTTCCTCAAAGCTCCGCCAACATTATGCAAAGCGCAAACTTACTCCGTCCCAGTTGATGGGCTTCATGTCCCCAGCGGTCACCATCGTAATACACCTTTCAAACGGAACTACGCACTGTTTTTGAGCAACGCATGTGAGGATCATGTCGTAGCATGCACAGTCACAAAATGCGTCCGGTTGTTTGTCCGTTATATTAAGCTAAATTGTCGTAATACCAAATGCTATTTTAAGGTTGTGCAAGACTATCAGTCCAATGTGTAATCGGTGGCTAATGACAGTGTGGGTTCATATGAAGTAACTGGGGGCATGTCGTACCCGCAGAGCAACGTGTACTGTACGTGATTCAGAATATCCATCTCCAATCTCATTGAATTCTACTGCTAAAGCTAGTCAGAAGTTTTGGAACTGTTGCATGACTGTCGCACTTTCTTTGGATTCGTTAATTAGGTAGCCTCTACACCCGAGTTTGCGATTGGCGCAGATCCACGAAAGGTCTAGGGTACTCAACGTGGTCACATGATGAGACCACATTTGGCTTACTTGAGTCTTAGTGCACCGTAGAAGAGAAGCCGAATCAATCTCACTCATACTATTAGCAGATTGTGTATCGTGTCAGTCATAGTGAGGTGAGGTGTGGAGGGACGAGGGAAAATAAACAGCCAGGTACATATGCGTGTGGTGCAACGCCAATTCATCCAAAATGCATCCTGTATAGAAAAGAATTGTCCGACCAGCACTTGGGGAGCGCATACCACTCTTGTCACGTTAAGTCAAGAAGCGGTTTCAATTCTCCCCATAGAGGATGAACATTCAGCTACTACACAATCACTCTTCTTTGGAAATTACATGGTAACAAAACGTATGATGATACGTTACATATACAAAAAGCCAATTTAGCAAAGATTTTGTCTGAGTCCCATTGACAAGATCAACGTAACTAAGAAACCGTACCAGGTACGGCATTATAGAAGACTCGTATGCAGTGGTGCGTGCTGCTCTATGTTTATACATGGAACGAGTGCTAGACGTGGAGATACATTGACTAAGGTGCGAGTACAGTGGGTGAGATGAGCCAAGTAGTATTCTAGTAGAAAGTTTCTGGCATGCCCTGAAGTGCTGTGAAATAATAAACCGCANGCACAATATACTCAAGGGATATGCCGCTGTATCGACATACGTGTTTGATGGATGTGTGTGTGTGAGTTTGAAGTCTTTGATTAAAAGACCCGGAAAAATAACAGGGGATGCAGAAAGCAAGTGGGGAAGAATACAGGATAAAACAAAACGCTTTAATAAGTGAGTTGGGGTAGATAACATCCTCAAACGAATAATGTAAAAAGTGAGTTTTCTGACTTTGTGAAATGTCTCGATGACATGAGACCAAGAAAGATTGCGGGAAATGGTGACTCCAAGATATTTGACGGAGCATGCTCGGGAAACTTC